AATGATGTAAGAATTATATAAAATAAAATATTTTTTTTTAAATCACAAAAAATAAATAAAAGGAATATTTATTGGATGCCTAAACTATGCATTTCATACAGCTTTTCAGTGAGAGAAAGCTTAAAAAGAGCTCACATTTTAGGATAAACATTTATAGAGTAATGACAGATATCAAAGACATCAACAGGGACTCTTGCCCTTCTAAAACTGTGTAAGTGCACTCCCAAATATTTTATGACATAGTCTTAAATATGAAGAGAATGGGACATCATCAGAGCTATTTACACACACATACACACACACTGTCAGCTGAGATTTTCAAACAAGCCTGACTGTCTCACATTGAGGATTAACCACAAATTACACTGTGTAATAACAAGGTTAATGATGCATCATTTTCAAGGCAAGATTTTATATACAGCTAGTTGATTAAATAGCCTGCCCTTAATAATTGGGGATACTAGCTAATGAGGGCAATTTATTTTTATTCTTAAACCTTTCAGAATACGCTGACTTCACAACACCTATCTCAAGAGTTCCAGTCTCATTTTCCAACACAAAGATTCATCTAGCTTTTCTGCTTTCACAGGCAGAATGAGTTCTTCATAACAAAACATGATCACAGGCTCGTGTCAAACAAACATGGATTTGGGGGCAGTGATACACTAATTCTGAGCAACACTAATGTTAGTCATTTTGGCTTTCAGGCATCAAGACATCTGAGAGGATTTGAGCCACTCTCTTGTTTACATGGATAACAAACTCGGTGAGGATAGTGTAGCCAGGGAGCCTTAGGGGCAGTATCAAAGGGCAGAGGCCATAATTGCTCATCGCCACTCCTCCTATTAAGGTCACCCAGTAAAGACAATGTAACCGACAACTGTGTTATTTATATGAAAACTTTTGAGAGTATTATCAACATCCCTTCTTTACAGAATGCACATTCTGCAATGTATTACTAAATATTCAGTGAAAGAGAAAAATCGAATGCTTCATGTTTTATGTTTTAAGTTGGGAAGAGCTGCTTTAAAAGGGTTAAACCTTTGTTGTTTGCACTGCAGGGCTTCCCAGAGCCCTGTGCCCTGGTCCCTGTGATGTCACTGTAGCACAATTTTAGCTCTATCTGATGCTACATGTCTTCAGAGAGCATTGATTCACATTGCACACAATCCTGGTGAGGGCCACAATGTGGGAAATCCTGCATGTATGGCCTTGTGTGTATGAACTGGCATGATCAGGAGGACATGCTGCATGGTATGTCATCTTCCTATCACACTATTACAAATCACCACCACATAAGGGTGCTGAAAACAAACATGAATACGTTACCTTTCAGTTCTGTGTGACAGAAGTCAGACAAGGGGCTCAGTGGGTGGAAATCTAGAGGTGGACAAGGCTATTCCCCTCTGGAGGCACTACAGAGAATCTGCACCGCCCCCCCTAAGTCTTTCCCAGTTTTAGAGGTCTCTCATATCCCTTGGCTGATTGGTCACTTCTTCCATCTGCCAAGCCAGCAATGCTGCCTTATCCTGATGACTCTACTGAACTACTTCCACTGACTATAGACAAGGAAGGACCTCAGCTTTTAAAGATTCATTTTGAAGAATCATTTGATTGGTCCCACCTGGGTAGCGGTAGCCCAGAATAATCTCCCTGCCACAATGTGGGCAAAGTCCCTTCTTTCCATATAAGGTAACATAGTCACAGATCACAGGGATAGGGTTTGGACATCTTTGGGGGCTATTATTCTGTCTACCACACATAGGTTGGTAAGAAAACATACAGTTCTTGCCAGCAGACAATATTATCAGGGAAATCAAAATTATGGTCTGATTAAGAGGTACAGAACAGTAAATAAAATAAGGACTATGTTCTCTGGCACCAAAACACACAAGTCGAAGAGAGGGCCCAAGTGCTCTGGGAATTAGATTCTTCACAAACAGTGGCCCCTCAACACAGGACTGATTCTACAAATTATGCACTTTCCAATAAAATGCATGTTCTGCTAATGAGCTTTATCGAAACTTTCCTTATGAAGGGACGTGCATACAGGTAATAAAATGATTACTTTTCATGGTTATGTTACCTGACAGGTCTTGCTCTCATCAAGCCAGTAGAGAGAGGACATCTGATTTCAAAGGCTGAGTTCTTAGCCTTTATAGCCATTAGCTGTTAAATAACCCACATCTTCCTCCATGTCTCTCCTTGACCTCAGGGTCTACATATGTGGGTCTAAGACTGTGTGTGTGCAATCCTGCAGACTTATTCAAAGCTGTCATTTGTAACATTGTGAAGCTGTAGGCCTTGAAAACATCTCTTTTTGTTCTGCTCTCTGATCAGAGATGGAGACTTCTGGTCAGAGGCAGGATATGTCATGAATACCTGCCTTAAAGTCATATCTACTTTCAAAATGTGGCCAGGTTATCACCTGTGAGGCAATCTGGCAAATGAGTAGAGCACAATGAACCTTAGTCTCCCCATCTTAGAGACATTGCTAATAATATCTGCACATGGGGTCACTGAAAGGATTAAGAGACAATATATGTAAAGCACCTGATAGATAATAATCAAGTGGTAACTCACAATGGATACGACCAATTCCTTGCTATGTCTGCCTGCATAGAAACACTACTCAAAATTCTTGTCTCTATGAAAAATGCTTACTGACAACCTTTACTTATGTCAGTGGCATCTGAACAAGCAACAACTACTGTTTTATTCACATCCTATCGTTAAGGTGTGGTTCATGCTCTTCAAAACAGTTTTCTCCTAAAGGGCTGAGCCTGGCTGGAGAAGTAAATTCTGAGACTTCTTGAAATTTGCTAATCACATCTGGTTTAGCTTTAGACATTTTCTGGGGTTTTGCCAGCAGCCAGGACATTTTAATGGCTACAATAAACCTCAAAGCCTCATCAAATCTTTGCTGTATGTGTGAAAATTATGTCCTCTTCAATTAAACATTCAATCTAGGCTCACACCAAGGCCTTATGGAAAAGGAGGTGAAACCTGAATGGGGCCTGAGATGAAACGGACCGCCACGACCCTGGCCATCTTGCCAGATGGTATTTAGAAGAAAAAGAAATTCATTAGAGAACCAACAGTCTGTATTTTCTTTAAATATTTACTAGGTACCTTTCATGTGCTAAAAACACTGGCATCTCTAAAGATTAGCAGGGCATTTTTGTTTAAATATTCGATGTGTGTGGGGGAGTCATGGTTTCCTCATTCCCCTGTTTGGGGCTTCACATCTTTTGGTGAAGTCCAACACAACGGAGAAAAATAATTGAGGCACCTTTCAGCTTTCCTTCATAAGGCAACTCCTCCAGCTTCAGAACTCCTTGTATTACCTTAAAATGGGCTGTCAGCTGAGTACTGAGAGACCTGGAACAACATGTAGGATCTCCCCAGTGAAAATAAGTTGTATCAAAGTGGGGCATGGAAGGGGTGGGACCCCTGCCTATCCAATCTCTTCATCCCTTTGCTACTTATCACTGAACACACTGGAATGTCAAGGGGAGGAAGCTCAGCCAGGGTGCAGGCAGGAGAAGAGGGAAAATCTCGCACAGATCAGGTTTCTGCTCATAAGACTACAAGAGGAGGGTAGCCAAGGGGCTTCCAGGGGTGAGGAAGGTGTGGGCATTCAGGGAGGGCCTCGGAGTAAACCAACACGGGCCCTGTGTTACTGCTCATCTGCAGCCACCCTCAGTACTGGCCTGGGCCCCAATTCTACCGTCAGAGAGGGACAGAAAGAACTGCTACGTGATCGCTTACTCTGCTTTGTTACAGTAGGTGTCAAGCTCCTCATCTCGAAGATGAAACTGTCAGTGTTTTGGAGATGGGAAGGAACTAGCACAAGTTCATATATCATCTCCCTGAACGAAGTGTCTATCAGGTGGAATTTATACTCTCAACCACATCAACGGGAAAGAGAAACCCCACATGTTCCTTTTAAAATAATTTACAAGGTAAAAATATTCACTTGTAACCACTATGCTTATTTAAGCAAGGTTTATGCCCAAAGTAAGAATAAGTGGCTCTCCTTACCACCAGGGACACATCTTTCCCACTTGACTTTCATTTCCAAGTTGTTCTCTGTCTAAGACTTAGGTTTCTGAGCTCTGTTTCACAATAAACATTTTTAAAATGTTTATTTTATGTCTTAGTGTAAAAATATTCCTGGTTCAAGCTCTTCACTTCCTCAAGCTCTCCTTCTGGCACTGCAGCCTCCATTTCCACATTAACACGCTCCCTAAATCCTCCATGGAGCTCTTCAATTGGACTTATACAAGCTCTAAGGCAAGTATTTATATTCCTGGACAAGGAGATGTCTCCAAGTGAAAACACAAGACTCCAGAAATGCCAAAGGAAAATTCCAGTCCCAGAGAGGCATATTTTCACCTTTCAAAAAAGCCAAAAAGGGCTTTCAGCATTTTGTTTTGAATAATTAAAACTGTAAATTAAACTAAAATGTAAATTATAATATGGGGCTTGTCATTGTGATTAGCCCCTCCTGCGGATGCCAGCTACATAAGGATGTGTGTGTGTGTTTTCAAGTGATAAATTATATACATGGCAGCATAGTAAACGAGCTTAGACATTGCATGAATTCTAATCAGATAGACTTGATCAGAGCTCAGCACTTTTGCCTCGTACTGGTTGTGTGAGTACAACTTCTATAAGCTTAGTTCCTGCTTATTATGAGACCACTGTAAGCATTCATAAAGGGGTTGCTGTTATCATTCAAGTCATTATTATATGTTGGAAAATGTGTCTATAACAAGATGGGGCTATGAGAGGTAGATGGTAAATGCTTATAGAGAAGGCTGTGGAAGCCCAACAGGCTCAAAGCAGGATGGAGAGCTTCGTGAAGGCTGCGGTGTAGACTCCTACTGAACTCTACACCAATTCCATTCCATAAGCGAGACAGAAATAATCCCCTTAAATTAATTAAAAAAAAACAAAACACTTAGCTATCATCATAACAGAACAGTTCCTGTTACCTTCCAGTTGCCTCTTCAGTTTTCGCAAATCTTTTATGAGGTCTTCAAACTTGACTTGGGAGGCCAGAAAGAAATCCTGTGGTTCAGGCAGGGGGAAAACACTCTTTTCAGTTCCTGCCTCCTGAAAGACATGGTAAACAAAAGTACATTTTACTTCCCAACAGTCACTGTCAGTTGACTTTCCAAAGCAACTTGCATTGGATGCTCAAATAAGAATCACAGCAATGTTCCCCACTATTTCCAAATTTGGACTGTTTACTTTGAAGGGCTTTTGTGTCATTCACAGCGTCATTTTAGTCCTGGGCTAGGTTGTATTTTGCTTCATGAATCAAAGAGAAGATTGTCAGGTACGTCCTGATCCTGGACACTTCACTCCCTTGGAGGGAGGGTTGGAACACATGAAAGCACTTAAATCCAAAGTCCCTCTTTGTTTCGCCTGGTAGCAATTAGATAACTCATCTTAAGGGTATGTCAATAGGTGTGAACTGGAAGGTGCTGGATAAGAAGACATTACAGGGGAAGAAATAACCACTGCCCCGTATGCCTTAAAACACCTTAAACCACTTTCCTCTGAAGTTTAAGAGAGTGTGTGTATGTGTGCGTGCGTGTTTGTGTGTGTATATACACACAAAGAGATATCAAATTCTTCTTAAATTTGTAAAAATTTTCAAATATTGTTTAGCTCTTGCCTTATTTTAGGGACTATTTCCTGAGGGCATGGTTCGGCACAGTTTTTGACATCCTCCACAACTGTATCTAAGAGAGGATCTAAGCTGAGAAACATCTTGAGGGACAAAAACTTCAGGCACACTGAAAGCTAAGCTAAGTGTCCAATCTTTTTCAGTCTAGCTTGCTCACTCCCTGAGTTGTTTATTATAAGCTTTGTGTATTGCATATCTCAGGCAGTCTTCAGTGATCCCTCTCTCTGCACAGGCTACTTTGCCAGGTTGCCTTCACATTCCATCTTTCCTATTGCTATTAGGACTAATTCCAAACTCTAAAATTGCTTTACAAGGCACTTTATGATCTGGCCTCTGTCTATCTCTCCAGACTTTTTTCTACCTTTCCCCATCTCCAAGTTCTCCCCCGCCCGACCTGACTTTCATAAGATGATAATGCAATCTCTTGCCTCTAGGCTTTTGTCTACCTGATTGTCTCTTTCCAAATCTGCCCCAGTACTTCCTCAAACCTCCTTGTTCCTATACACCCCTCAACCCTCAAAACAGTATTTCCTTAAAGATTTCCTCTAACCTACAGGACTAGGGTATTTCCAAAAGCCCCATTATCACAGCACTTACCAATACAACATTTAAAATTGTCATGTTGGCATATACGTCTGCCCCACTGGACTATCAGTTGAAGGCAGAAACTGTGTTGTGTGCTTGGTATGGTAAACCACACCTGGCATATCAATAAACTTTGGTTTGGGTCGGTTGACACCATTCAAGAAAGCCTGGGAAGTTTTTACCTTTCATAGGAGACACCAAACTTATATTTTCTTGTGGTTTCAAGAACTACCTGGACCCTTCCCCTTCCTTTAAAACCTTTAGCATTACCACTTCAGCTGGGGGAAAGTGGCTTTCCTCATTATTAGAACACCATTTTGCACAATCAATGTACTTAGATTTTTTTAATCTTCCTATACTTCTTGTGCTACTACAAAAACAGAAGTAGCACTGCAGTCTGAGCATCATGATGGAATAACATTTAAGATGTTTGCCCCCAGACTCATGGTAATGTGTGCTGGGACACGCAGATATGGTATCTCTGTTTTCCAAAACTTTGTATCAGGTTCAGTACTGGTTTCATTTTTTCAGAAGCTTAGAAAAAAGAGAAAATGTTGCTGAGCAAAGCAGACTGGCAGAAACTCTTGTGAAAGCTGCTCAATTAGAGTTCAATAGACATGGCTCTAGATGGACTTTGTTAGGCTTCACAGACCTAGACTTGGCATGAGTAAAAGGGTGCTTGGAGCAGAAGTCTCCTTTCTTCAGCTAACTGCTCACCACCACTAACCACAAAAATCATCACTTATGCTCCTGGAGGGATGGAAGAGTTTAATAAATTACATAATTCTACACTCTCATTGAGTGAAATGCATTTTGCACAATGAGCACCACACAAACGTTGACTTCTTATTTTTCCTAGACTGGGTCATCCCATGCTTGAAACTACCTTACTGTAAGATTTCACTTTGGGAAGTCATTTCCACTCAACTGTCTTCAATAAGAGTCTCATTTCAGGGGCGACTTTTAGCTTTCTTTCTTTTTTCTTTTTTTTTAAGATTGATTGATTGATTTATACAAGCACTGGGTACAGTCAGAAGCACGGGAGGGTGAGAGGATTCACCAGAGCTGGAACGGGGAACAGAACAGGCAGACTGATGAAATACACTGCTGAGGGGAGCAACGGGAGCGGCAGGAGAGGTCTGCGTGCTATGTGGGACCCTCGCCGGTGGCTGGGGATCGAACCAGCGCTGCAGAGGTTGCGGGCAGCTTCACAGCACAGCACTCAACCACTGCACCACCAGAGGAGGCCCGACTTTTTGCTTTCTTAACACTATGCATCTGACTTGGGTGAGGCAGATGTTATGAGGTAAAACTGCACGTGCCAACTTCAGGTTAGAAACATTACCTCTCAAGATTCTTCAGGATCATTCTTTTGCCTCCTGGGACCTGCTGTAAGAACTTCAGATATGTATATATGGCTTGGCCTGCTCTCCCAGAAAATAGCTCCCATCTCTCACACCTAGTTCTTTGGAGACAGCTTAGTGCACTCCTGTGGACATTTATAGTATATTCAATTCAGCAAGTATTTATCAGGCACCTATGCTATAGACACTAAGAAAGATTCAACAGTGAGTTCAGGGTCTCAAGATGCAATGCTAGAGAAGGGGTGATTGCTCACTGATATCTATGTAGAAGGCAGGATAAGATGTATTATGAGAGGTTCAAATGAAGTTGCCTGGGTTTCAAGATAAAAGATGAGGAAGTAAGCAATGACTTCATTGAAGAAGGGCCATAGAACTGGTTATTAGCTTTTTTCTGCTTTAACAAAGTGACACATGTTCACTATGCTTAGTAATTGAAAGAAAGTAAAAAGCAAATATCCCCTACAATCCCACCACCCGAAATGTCTGACCAACTTTAACATGTATCGTTCCAGGTTTTTGTGTGTTTTTACACAACTGGGAATGAATACACATCATTTGGAAACACACATGTGTAATTTCAAAGCAGACTGAGAGTACTTCCAGTGCCACTAAACTTCCCCTATACACTTTCCATGGCAGTTTATGACTCCATTTTATGACTGAAGCATAATTCATTGGACCCTAGTCACTATCTTTGGATACCTACCAAACATTTTGCTAGTACAAATTATTTTCTATAAAATAAAAAAAAATAGTGATCTGTGTCCTTATTCCTTACAATAAAAATTCCTAGGAAGAATATCTGTATATCCTTAGGACTTTTAATACAGAAAAGTCAAAGTCTTGTTAATCTACATGGCACATTTGCATGAATTAGGGGAAGTGTCCCCTGTAGGTAGGCACAGCTCCATGGGTAAATAGCATGACAGATGCAGGGTGTCTGTCTTTATGGGAAGGTGCCCTTTACAAGACATATAGTTTGATTAGTAAAGGGCAGACCTTAAACAGAACTCAGTTATACTAAATGATAGTCTTGAGGAAGGTTTGATCAAGTTACAGAGCTAATTCTATTTACCTAGTTGGCAATTTATATCTTCTATTTGTCCTTTGTATATACACATATTTTCTTTTTGTATAGGAGAACTGGGGTGTAGGCCAGAGATGTGGGGGGAGAGAGGATTCACCAGAGACAGAGCGGGGAACAGAACAGGCAGATCTACTGAAATACACTGCTGAGGGGAGTGGTGGGCGGGTCAGGACAGGTCTGCTGTGCCATGTGGGTAGCTCCCTTGCCAGGGACTGAACTCAGGCTTTAGTGGTGACAGCGCTGAGACTTAACCCCTAAGCCACCAGGGAGGCACCTGTCTTTTGTCCATTGCCTTCAGTTTTTAATGAAGGCATTGTTTTTAATGAAAAGTGACAAGTTGTCTTTTTCTTTGTTAAGCTGAAGATCTCATTACCTATGCTGTGTATATATTTATCTATTATATATTTATATATACATACAAATATTTATGTATACACATGTACATATACATATTGAATATGTGTGTGTATGTTATTATTGGGAGCATTTTCCGAAAAGGTCTTTTAATTTGCTATTTTTAGAGAATACTAAGGAAAGGAAAAAAATTATATAAAGGGCTAATGACAAGAATAGTTCCAATATGGGAGAACATCTGATGTGATAATCACATTAGTAAGGAAGCATAGGAAGTGTTTGGAAAGCATCAAGTCTTGAGTTGGATCTAGAATGTGCAGAGGGAGAGTACAAAAACATGGTTGTGAAAGGCAGGAATTAAACTGGGTAGAACATTGGGCCTCCCGGTGGCGCAGCAGGTTGAGTGCAGCACTGTGAAACTATCCGCAGCCTCTGCAGCACAGGTTCGATTCCGGCTGTCTGCGGAGATGCCCACATGGCGAAGCAGACCTCTCCTGTCTCACCTGCTGCTCCCCTCAGCAGTGTACTTCATCAATCTGCCTGTTCTGCTCCCAGCTCTGTCTCTGGTGAATCCTCTCACCCTCCCGCACATCTGGCCTGTACCCTGGTTCTTATATGCATGAATAAATAAATCTTAAAAAAAAAAAAGTAAACTGGGTAGAGCATTAATTCACTGGAAAGGGGGTCATTTCTGTTTCTGAGCAAAAAGCAACACACTATGAGCATAACTGTACATACAAATATCAGGAGTAGGGTAGACTAGAGTGGGAATAACTGGAGGTGGGGAGATGAGCTGGGAAGCAATCAAAGTTTCCTATCAAAGTTTCCAATCAAAGCTGAGTTTTCTTAGAACCTGAATGTGCAGGGGTCATTGAGGATGAAAATAGGATAGGATCTAAGAAACAACTGAGGGGAAGAAGAGAGGGGAACTAAAGAGAAACATAAGCTTCAAGCCAGAAGACCAAAAATGATGACATCCTTCCCGGAAACAGGAGGTATGGGGAATGGAGGGGTAACAATAGAGCATGGCTACAGGTACACTGGGCATAATTAATAAGCCAGATGAGGGTAGGAGAGCTGACGACAGACTTCAGTGATAAGCTTGTCTTCCTGATGAAATTGCAGGCTTTTTCACAATAAAGATCTGGAATCTTTACTTTTCTTCTCGTGGTGCATAGGAAAAACTCTGCCTTACATGGATGGTTAAGCAGGAGATCTGACAGCTATTTTCCTGAGACTTTTCCATTCATATTGATTGCTATATTTCTCAACAGCTTAAACACTAGCTCTTTCTTCTCAAAGTTTTGGACTCCTTGTCTTCAATTTAATGAGAAGGAATAAAACACAGAAAATTGTGCTCAGGTGGATTTTCATAGATTTTTTTTTTTTTCTAATTGTCGATGAAATCCAAGCAGGAAGGAGGAGTTTCTAACTCCACATCTTCAACTTAATCACAGATGAACATAACCGATAAAGTATTGGGTATTACTGCATCTTCATTTCCTCAACTTTGGCCTGCATGCCAGACTCTAGTTTCAAATACAACCAATTACTGTATGGATATTGATTTCACAGAGACCCTCACAATCTGGAGAGAAGGCACGACAATAGCTGGGGGTTGGGGGGGGGTGTAGGGTGCTTTCTCTGAAGTTGTGTTATTTGGTGGCTTGAAAGTCAGTATATTTGTGCCATTGAATAATGCTTCTCTTTACAAGAGTTGACTAAACTCTCTTGGCTTCAGTTTTCCCATCTGTAAACCAAGGAAGCTGGATCGTGCTCAAATTCTATGTTGGACTTGAAATCTGTCCATGCATCCATCATCCAATTTCTAAGTGCCAACTATGTGTAAGAGCTGAAACCCCATTAGTGTAGTTTTCCACATTATGCCATTTCTTACCTGATCATAGTAACGCAGGTAATATTTCACGACGTAGTCCACCAGATTAATTCCATTATCCTAGGTTTAAAAGAAAGGTAAATGAAAATCATCCTATGAGCCTCGGGCCATATTACACAGTTGAGTCAGTTTGTGACCCTGATACTTTTAAAATTGGATACCTCTCCCTACTTCTTTTGACACTAGCAAGATTTCCCTCTCTCCTCCTTGTCTCATCCATTTTTTTCTGATATCTAAACAAAGTAATCACATTATACTACCCTTTGTGGGGGGGAAACCCAAACAGGTAATCCACAAGACCTCCAAGTATGGATAAAACAAACAAACACACAAAAGATTGTCTCTTAATATTTTTTGGCATAAAGCCAAGACAGGAGGGGGTGGGGAGTATTACAGAGAACCAGGGACTAGGACAGAAAACCACCCCTCCGTTCCACCTTTCAAAAAAAAGTGTGTTCTTAATGGCGTGAAAAATAATCAGGACAGCTTAAAAGGAACGCCAGGCCACTTTATGACCCTGGGAGGCCAGGGGCGAACAGGCCCTCCCACAAGGCAGCCTTTGTGTCTTGTTCACATGGCTCTAATTCTAATTTGCCTGTGTGTTTCCACTCCCTCCACTCCCCCTGCCCCCATGGGATGCCTAGATATGGGCTGGTTGTTTCTAAAGAGGTAGCTCTGCAGGGGTGTGGAGCCAAATGATAATCAGGCTCAGAGCGTTTGACAGTAGACCTCCAGCCCAATTGTTGTGGGCAAAGGAATCACTCAAATGTTCAGTACAAGTAATGATTCAACAGAGCTGTGCTACTCAGGAGTGAGTTAATTACAAGTAGCAGACACTAAATCTAGACCCCGCCCTTCAGTTAGGGCCCATACTGTATGCTTATCTGCTTTATTCTCAAAGTGTGGTTCAACATATAATTGTGTATGTTTCAGCGAACAAAGATTGGGAATTTTGCCACCAAAATAAGATCTAAGATGAAAAACCCATTTTTCTTTAAAAGTCAAAATAAAGCAAAGAAAAAGATAAGTTGTTAGGGGGAGAGAAAAAATATATATATTAAATATATATATACACATATGTAACATATATATTTAATTAAAGGTGTAGAAGGAAAATTATGGCAGATTTCATTGATGAAAATGAACAAATACCCGACTTTTGACGTCCTTGAGTTTGGGCAGAATTTCTAAGCTATATCCATCTGCTTGTCCCCGAGTTCTATTTCCTCCATTCATATAATTTCCAAAAGCCAGAATAAGAGCTAAAATGTCCTTCACACTCTTCATGTGCAGCAAGCCCTGTGACAGCAAACACTGATTATTATGGAGAATTCCAGATGGAATATTGTTCATTCAACAACAAATATTTACTAAGTTTCCAAAAAGTTTGTTTGGTGGCATCTCAACAATGAGGAGTTGGTGAAATAAAAATACACTGAATTAAGCCATACATGTTTTAAAGATATACTAATAGTCATCATGTTATCCCCTTTCAACGAATTACAAATTGTGCAAGATTTAATATCCAGAATCAAATATTAGTATTTACATTTCCAATGAAGTCAGCTTTATGTTTCAAAAACAAAGTATCTACACATTAAAAACAAAGAGTCATTATAGCTTGGCTTCACATTTCATGACTTCTGAGAGGAAAGGAGTTTAACATTATTTAAGAAGCATCTGTGTTTGGACAATATACCCATATACATGATAGTTAACTTCATACATACACACACACACACACACACACACACATATATATAGTTAACTTCAGGGTAGCAGATGTATTCTTCCCTCTCCCTGGGTATAATTATCAGAGTTGAATATAACATTTTCTAAGGCCATAGTCTATGTTAATTAAGTCTGTGCTGTTATGTCTATTAACTTTTACAGTTTTAAACAGCTTAGGGTTTTCTTCAGCCCTCCATCTCATTTATTTTTCTGCATCTTATCCCCCTACAATTGCAGATTTTCAAGATGATATTTTTTTCTTTTTCTCTACAGTCCTAAATTTATTTCCCTTATTTTAGGATTAAAAAAAGCAAACTGAATTCAACTCAAGTCTGACTTCTGCTCCTGCCATTTAGGGTGTTATTAGAAGGGATATATTTTGTAGAACTTACATTTTCTTTACTGAAATCTCATATTTTACAGAGAAAAATCATATCATCAAATAAGCGATTAAATACTACAGTAACGGCTGAGAGGCATGTCCTGTTATTAAGGACATGGGTCATTGTGAAAAAAAGTCAAGTGCTAGAATTTAACTTTATAATGAATAACAGCAGTGTGGCAAAGTCAACAGAAATTTATTTGCCTATCACTCATTATCATAGTCATTTATTTCATGTATCAAGTCTAGAATCTGTTTAGTTCACTATTTAGACACATTTCACATGATCAAATGCATGTGTCTAAATCCAACTCTTTGGCAATTCAGACAGATGAGTGGATAATTACACTATGTAGGTTGGCTTGAAGAGGCCAGTATGTATAGTGGTAGGTATCTGAGAAAAAAAAAATTTGTGTGTCATTTTTACCCCCCTTCTCCTTTTGTCAGTCTGTCTCACTAATCTGCACACACACACACACATACACACTCAGAGTTGGGCAGGAAGAACATACAATTCTAAGTTAAAAAACCTGAAAAAATCTTTCTAAACGGATTCCAGTTGATCTTTCCAACTTGCCCTTTATTCTTCATCCACTGTAAGGGCAAAGCTGTCTAAAATTAACAGCACACATACCTTAGAAGCTCGTGTGATGATTTCTACCTTTCGGTGCAAGGAGGTGATCCCTTCAGAAAAGACAGATCTGAAGATTATGCACTGGGCACGTTCAGCAAAATTAGGGATCTGGGCTAACTCATGTAAGAATCTGCAAAAAAAATTCAGAATAATCATCTAGCTTCATACACAATCACAAGGAAAATGAAACAGCTGAGAAAATCCAGCCAGAGCATTCCTTATTTGACGATTTCAATTTAACAATTACATAAGGTATAAGATGGACAAATTTAAGGAACTCCAGGGTGTGGCATCATTTCTTTTTATGGGTTTCTATGATGGTGAAAAAATATGTATTGTAAAAATTACACTTTAGGAAGAGAAAGTTAATGCAAGTATACTGAACTATGATAAGTTCTCCGTCTCTGTCTACGCAAACAGCAGACTAAACCCAAATGGAAAGTGTTAATCTTTATGAGGAAAAATACACAATAAACTCCCTTTATAAGGTAGCATTCTCTGAGGCGGTATTTACACAGGTTAAGTCAAGAGAGAGGCAAATGTCTGCAGACAAGTGATTAAAAAAATCTCCATTGAAGTAAGATTACTGCTACTAATTTTTCCTCAGTGAGTTAGATGATAGTGTATAATGATCCTATTCTAAGATGCTTACTTTTTCACAACATCTTACCTACATAGGCAGAGCTCACAGTGCAAAGCTGGGAACAAAGCAGGCAGTCATTAAGCAGACACAATCTAAAGTTTCTTAAAAACTATGGCCAGCCAGATCTTAAAAGCTAAAGGTGAGTGCTGACCTACACACAGAAGCTCACTGTCTGAGCAGCTGGGCACTGGTGCCCTTTGCAAAATTAAGTTGGAAAAGCTACACACTCTCCTGGCCAACCACCAGAGGAAGGGGTATAAACTAAAATGGGTGGAAAAAGTTGGACATGAATTCAAGAAAAGGAGAGAATCCACTAACAGCTATTAAATTCATTTTGGGGTTGAAATGACGATTAACTGATATTTCTGCAAGTCTTGGTCAACTCATAATATCATTCCCTTGACATTTTGCAATTTCTCACCAAGAATGCTTCTACATAGAAGGAAAGCTGGCGCCTCCTTCTTTCCACACCCAAAGAAATACCTCTAGCTTGTCTTCTGTGCCTCCTTGACTTTTCGGGAGATTTGGGTTTCAACAGAGTCTAATTATCAGCTGTTTTGCTTGTTTATTCTCCAACCAGGTCAGGATTATCTTATTTTTAATGACATTGAGATGAAGCAATGAATGTCCAGAAAGCAGAATGCACCTTGTTTAAAGTTCTGTAATTCTCCTTATGAAAGCCATGTGGTTGCATAAAACAACAGAAACTTAAAGGAATTCTAAATTGCACAAGATGAAAAAACTACATTTATGTGTAAATTTCTTCTTCATCAAATGAGTACTAAACTATTTGATCTAATTATCACTGAAATCAAGGGCACAACAGTTTTCCCAAACATGAGCTTGTGGGACTGGTGAGATTTGGTCGTGTGGTGTCTTGGGAAGTTTTATTTATCCAGATGCAGCCGAGAGCTACCTCAGGGACAGGACCCTGTATCTCTCCCCTTCCAAGTGTGGCCGTGAGACACAAATCTCCAAATGGGGCTCAGCTCCCCCAGTTTGTACACTTCCTGGTTGAAACAAACCCAATGAGTGAACAGTGATGGAGCCCACAGAAGAGAAGATACAGATCATCACCTCAGCTCACCAATAAGGACAGAGATGGAAACAAGCAAATGCTGGCTGAATCATTACATGTCTTTAGTCTCAAAAAACATTTAGATAAGTACGAGGAGGCAAGACTATGGGCTCACCAACTTATGCCACCCAGGAGCCTTGCTGGGGTTAGGACTTGCATTCTGAAGATGCTCAGAGAAGCTTAAAGCTCCCGTGTCCTGTGTGGGGGGCAGGGTCTGAAACATATCTGGAGTAGGGGGTGAGGGGAAGAAAGATCACGAATTTGACGGTATTTTTGAATGGAATTAAAAATGTGTTTCTGAAAATTAATACCACGGCATCAGCCACCAAGAATGTGAGTCAGTCCTTTACATGTGAAGTATTGACAGCATATCAGGAGCCGTGCTGACACCTGGGGGCAGAACTGAACTTGTACACAGTTCCTTTTGGCTAATCTGAGAAATGGATCCATCGTTACCATGGAGTGTGACAAATGATGTGCTGGGTTGATAACAGCCAGGGCAGCCTCATCTCTACCACTGCTGCAATGTGCTAAGAGAGCAGGAAGAGGGCTAGCGGTGCCAGTGAGTGTGGGGCAGTGATGAGAAAGCTCCTCAGGCAGCAAAACTCAGAGTACCGGACCAACACAAGGGATGAGAGAGCGTTCAGGGTAACCTGTGGTTTTGGCCTGCACACCTGGTGGAATGCGAAGAATAGGAAATGCTAGAAAAGCGAATTTGGAAAAATGACTCCATGTCACTTTCTGTCCAAAAACAACCATGCAAAGCCTTTAGGAAGAGAACAAGGGTTCCTTTCCTATTTATGTGGGGAGTGCCAAGACACAGGTAAGCTCACAGACGATGAAGGAAGTATCTGACAAATATCTTACCCCCCCAGCTGTGTTTCATACTCTACCTGTCAGAGTAAAGCTGAGAACTCTTCCATACATTCCCAAGGAGAGGGTCTTGGTCAGTGGGCCCTGGGACTTACAAATATTTATGGATTGATTTCTTTCTATGCCAGTTTAACTTTATAACCTAGGGCCAGCAATAGGGCACTAAAATACCCCCCAAAGAAATCATAAACTAGGGATCTTCCCATTTACCCTCCCCCCAAATTCAGGCTTATTTTCCCAGGAAGAACTGGAATGTTAGTCATATACAAGATGGAGTTTCTGCACATCACATTTGTGGGTTATAAGCCCACGGCAGCAATTCAGCTGAGAGGTAGAATGATGCAATGTGATCCCTTATTTTTATGCAACTAAAATTTGCTTTAGCACCCCCTAAACCCCCCAATTGGTATTATCTCAGGTGGGTGTGCACACAGGCGGCTGTGAACACAGCATAATTTTACGTGACAACCTGTGTTCTTCCATAGAAGAGCACAGTAATAGAGCAAGTCAGTGTGTCTTTTATTGGTGGGGGGCCCAAGGCCACTGTGGTTTCAAGTAGAGCATCCTATGATGCTCCTATGATGTCCTCACTCTAGGCCACACGGAAAGCACGCATCAGGCCTGATCAAACCCAGGAGAGAATGAGCTGCCCTCCCCACTATGCCACGGCAGAGTACAAAGACAGTCGAGGGAGTGGCTCCCCGGAGCCTGGTCCCAACAGATGACACCTCTTTGGGAAATGGCTTTCTAAATCCGGTACTGGGGTGCAAGAGAACTGATGAGGTGAGTGATGAGGCCAGCTTCTCCGTGCTGTGATTTATAGGACTGGGCACCATAGGGATCTCAGGAAATTGCAATGTTGCACCATAAATGATTCATATTTTCCAGTATGTAAAACATGCTTATAGTCAACTCACTTGGAGCTACTGGCAAATAAGTTGCCAGAGCATCAGACTCTGGCATAAATCAAACAAATGCTGCACTGTGTAAGAGGTCAGACGCAAAGGTGAAATTCATTTAGGCCTGAAGGCCCTGATTCTCTGTGCCTCTCCCTCCAGCCACCGTGCCTCTCCCTCCAGCCACATCACCTCACGTGGACCTCATGACAGTTCTCCTCGCTGTCCCTAATTGCTGTCCCTCCTTGCTGTTCGGGAAGTCATTACAGTGACCACTTGTATACTTTCAAAATGCTTTCTCTCCAGTTCACCAGGAAGGGAAGCAGGAATAGTTAGCTTATCTATTAATCACCATTAATAGGAGCCCTAGCAAGAAATCTTGAAAAGAAAAATCATGTTATAAAGGCATTAACACAAAAGAAAAAGAGGATCACTTGCTATAGCAGAAAAACTCACTATTCATTTCACGTGGTAGCAGAGAGCACAGATCCCTACAACTTGTTTCTGAATGCCCTGTCCACCGAGGATGAGTTTTACCTTCCTAAATGGTTGGGAAAAGAATCATTAGATGGGCAACATTTCCTCACAGGTAAAAAATGATAACAAATTCAAATTTTAATCTCCATAAATGCAGTTTCATTGGCCACAGCCACCTATGCGTTGATGTATTTTCTATGGTTGCTTTTGTAGTAGTTCCCACAGATGGGGTGGCCCACAAAAGCCCCAAATCCTTCCTCTCTAGTCCTTCTCGGGAATAGTCTGCCAACTTCAGGCTCTGAGTAGAGTGCCATTGCTCAGCTTGGAAGAGCTGGCTCTATTCAGACAATCATGATATTCCTGATTGTCTCTGCTGTGGATGGAATGCTTATATCTCCCCCCAATTCTGTTTTAGATGTTGAAATTCTAACTTCCAGTGGGATAGGACTGGGACTGAAGGGGCCTCTGGGTGGTAGTTAGGCCTTCTGGAGGAACCCATGTGAATGGCATTAGTGTCCTTATGAGAAAAGACACAAGAGCTTGCTGTCTTTCTCTGCTTTCTCTGCTATAAAAAGCTAGCAGTTTACAACCTGGAAGAGGGCCCTCATCAGAACCCCACTGCACTGATGCCCTGCTCTCAGTCTTCCAGCCTCCAGGACTGTGAGAAACAAATCTGCTGTTTATAAAACACCCAGTTTAGGGAGTTTGGTTAATAGCAGCCCAAGCTGACAAAGTTAGGCCCAAATATTCCCCCCATGGCCTTGTTCAGTATCTAAATATCCCACTACTATTCTCTTCATTTTTAGCCATTGGCACCTTAATGGGAGTTAATTTATTTATTAAGAAACAGAACTTGGGGATAGGTATAGGATCAGTTAAGAGTGGAAGGTGGAAGGAGGGTGGGTCCTGCTGATGGAACAGAAGAGCAGTGCAACCCCATTTGTATCGAGTCATAATGTCTTAGGCTTTTTGAACTAACTTTGGAGAGGGACTTCCATGGCGAGCAATGTCTCCAGGGTTCCCAGAATTACCATAAAGGCTTGTCAATCTCTGAGTAAATCCAGAACCCCCCCGCCCATGGTTTTCTGGACTTAAATGCCCCTCCATGTATAGAGTGGGGCACTCTAGAAGACCCAAGGCTAAAGAATGAAGGCCTCCATATAAGCCATAGGCCTTTGGACACTCTCCCGGGCTGAACTGTTATCTCAACCCGATCACTCACTTTCCTCTTTGTTGCCCATCGCTCACCTCTTATCTCCAGGCAGGGAAGGGTGACCGAAGTGGACATGAAGCGCACAAGACAGTGACAGGCAAAGGAGCCCTGTGCCCACTCTGTTCATTCCCACCACTGCACAGATTCCTGGGTGAAGTCTATGTGGTCTGCAGACCCCCAAGAGCCCAGCCAAGCACAAGAGTCACTCAGTTGAGCACCCAAGTTTTCGGTTTTCAAAGGGTGTAGAACAACACCCTCAACTGTAGGGAAACAACTCTAAGAGTGAGTGCAGAGAAGAACAAGCAAAGAGAGGATGAAAAACTCACATCTGAACTGGGCAGAGAAGGTAGAGAAAGTGGGGAGAAAGCTGGCACATTCAGGCTCCATTTACTGGATACAACAGTGAGGAAAATCAGTTTGAATCCTGTGACTCTGACCTCATCCTTTTAACTGCATCAGCAGAACCTTAAACAGAGCAATGACTTCTTCCTTCCTCAGTTACCCTTTTGGCCAGAATGTTTAGTCTAGGAGGAATTAATAAGTTGCTAGAACAAGAGAGGGGAGTCACGAGGGGTGGAGAAAGAGGTTGAGACATATTCTATCCAGCCGCACACATCTCCCGGCTGCTTTCCCAGAGGCAGGCCGCTCTGCTCATGCAACAGGACACGGGCATGACGGTGCTGTGCCTCGCTCACTGCACAATTTACACGGGGAGCCTTAGAGCCAGGAGGCAGGAAGAAAGAGCCTACACTTCTCTTTGAGGCCGAGGAGAAAAGCATTCAAGCATTCTTACTGCTCAGGTTTATCCAGCAGCTTCACCTCCTCTTCTTTGGATGTTTCATAATACTTTCTTATTTTAACCAATTCATCGTCTTGGGCTCGCTGTGTTGAAACAGAAACAAAAAGCACCAAAAAATGAGCAATGTGGGCCTTCCTGGAGGCGCAGGGGTTAAAGAAAGCACTATCAAGCAATTGCCAGCTACTGCAGCATGCAGTAGTTCCTGTCTCGCCCACTGCTCCCCTCAGCAGTGTATTTCAATGGATCCACCTGTTCTGCTCCCCACTCTGTCTCTGGTGAATCCTCTCACCCCTGCCCCCGCACTTCTGGCCTGCATAAATAAGAATTTTAAAAAAAAAAAAAGCAATGAGAATCCATCTAGAGCATTATGTTTCAAAATGTGCCCCTGAACCAGCAGTCACATATGAAACTCGGGATAGGGGTGGGGGATGAGAGGCCTGGGTTCCATAGGATGGAAGTAGGGCCCACCATGAACTGCACCGCCCCCCTCCCCCAGGCTGTGATGGGATCCACTAACCCAGATACCAAGGTGCTGGTCAGGAACCTAGTGCTTTCCCTGCATGTACCCTCATTTGAACTTGAGAGTCTGTGCCTTCATCACTCGCACGCTATGCCAAATCCTGACTACCAAGGACTACGAACGGCTTGGTGATTTTCCAGGTGGAAGGATTCACATTAACCATTTTTCAGACTGCACCCCCTTTCAGTTAGTAAAGATAGGGACATACAGACACTGTGACTCTGCAGGTCTTTGATACTCACATTTTCATATAAGGCTGCCAGGGTTTCCAGATCCACCACAGAGTCATCCACATTGAAAATGGCTGCAGAGAACACAGAAAGAAAGGAAAAGAGAATAAGGGGTTTGATCAGACTCCCCACACCACCTTCTAGTTCATGTCTAGCTTCCAAGCAATATAATATTGCACTTTCTCACACAGTTGCATCCTTTGGCATGTTTCTGCTACCTCTTTTTTTTTGTACCAGGAGTTCCAAATGAAAGAAACCACAATGGTTCCTAATGTTAGCCTCAGCCTTAGGCCTGCCTGGTTTAATTCCTCAAGCTCTGTCTCCTTTCTGAGGTTTAATTTAGTCTCCACAGGAGAAGTGTTTGTGCTTTAAAACTAAATCAGTTTGTAGGTTTGAAGCATAATTTTAAATCTTTCTTCCCGGCTGGTAATTGAAGAGATTTAGTACCTAATGCACCAGAACTGACTCTTGCCCAACCAGGAAGAGAGAAAGAAAAAAGACAATGTTGGCAAATTAAATGAATTCAGGCATGTGATTCCAGGCACCTTCCACGGCCACTGCAAACATCTTGTTTGGATTTTGAAAGATAAGAAAAAGCAATAATTGCATCAATGGCAAATTGAGATTATGGAAACCTCCCATGAGCCAGTCTGAAGGCAAGTTCTCTTTCCCATGTTTTTATTAGGATTCTACTTGTTGTTCTGAATCTTAAATAAGTTGTTTAGCTGTTAACTAATACGCTGATGATTGCAATGAGAGAGGTTCCTTTCCCCATATCCTAGGATACAGACATCAAGATTTTAAAGTCTTAATGGATTTGGCAATCAAAGTGTTTGAAATAGTCAGCTCCACATCTTTAAATAATTATTCAAAACTAATAAGGTTTGTCCCCTCAACCCCACCCCCCTTCTATGACTTTACATTGTGAAATTAACCAGCACGCTAGTAAATTTTCTCCATGGCAGGCTAATTAATTTTATTAAACCAACCAGTGATATTTAGAATGTCTTAAAATTTTGCTCGTCAGCCATTATTCTCTTCAGTGGTGTTACACACGGTTTTCAGAGAAGGTAGGGATCAAGGTAAAGGGCAGGTTGCTTTCAAATTGTTTTGCTTCTTCTGTGGTTTAGAAGCATAGGAACCCCCTTCTACAATTTTAACAAAGTTAATTAACTACGCTGAGATCATGTAACTTCACAGAACACCGAGAAATGTACTTAAAATTCCTTCACTGGCCACCTTCTCTAACTCAGGAGTTAATCAGCAAGCTATTCCTAGAAACGTGGGTGAGTGAGAAAAGAAGAGGTTAATATGCTGGTGACACAGTCACTCGCCTCGGATTCCACGGAGACAAAGGAAAATTACACTTCTGAAAAGGTCACTCTGAAACCACAAAAGAAAAAAAACATAGTTTGAAGAATGAAAGAAAGAGCCAACCCTCGCAGGACTGTAATATTTTTAGTGTGGAGATAAGGTGAATTCACTAATTTCTTTGGTAGAATCATGCGTTTTTAAATGTCTGGTGCTTTAAAAGACCAAATATCCAGGAATGATGTCTATTTTCATAAAATTCCAATGTTCCCTACAAAAATCAGCCAGAACTTCTGAAAATAATTGATCAGAAATGGTCACTTTGAATTTAATCATACTGCCTAGCTACTATTTGTGTTTCTCTGTGTGTGTGCGTGTATAGTTACAGGCAAATAGTCTTGACTAATGAGGAAGAGAATGATCTGTGGGTTTCTTTTTCTAATGAGCAAATATTTGGTTTTCAAAAGTTAATCAGTGGGTCTCAGACACTCAGCGTGACAGGTTAGATGGTGAGCCAGTTGCGCCTGCTGTGCTCGGGCGTCCAAAGGAAACACCCAGAAGGGACAGGCCCAGAGAACAAGTATGGGATCTGGAGATATTTATTCATTCATTTACCCATCCCTTGAATAAATATTTGTTGAATGTGTATTAAGTGCCAGAAACTGTTCTAAAATGCTGGAACATTTTAGAATAAAGTTAGAAGTGTCTTATGAAAAATAAGTCAAAAGCGTCTTTTAAAAAAAAAGTAGTTTAAAAGTGTCTGAGACATTCAAAGTGCTTGCTTGCATGAAATGTAAACTCAAGCTTAGGGGACAGAAAGTAAGCTCGGAGATAAATCATTTCAGATAAAGATATACTGCAAAGGAAGTAAAATAGGGAATTGAGCAACATTAAATTGGATGATCAATGCAGCCTTCTCAGAGGAGGTAAGATTTAAGTTAACACCTCAAGAGGTCGGTTCTGTGAATGTCTGGGAGTAGAGCAGTCAATGGACAGGTAACCGCAAAATTAAGCTTCTTTTTTCCTGGTAAGGAAACAAGTTCAAAATACAGAAGGTGATCACCATGAAGGGGACGACTTACTCGATTACACAGCAGGTTTAACTGTCTGAGCTTCTGCAGATCCATAAATGGGTCTAATACCACTTAATGACAATATTAAGTGAGGTGATATATATGCTTGGCATAGCACATGAGCCAGGTATGAACTCCAAAAGGCCCCTATGAACTCTGATTATGATTTTAAATACATGCATTGTTAATGTGTTTTAATGCTTGCTGATGCCTTATCTCCTTTAACATCTGGAAAGAATTAGAGAAAGTACCAAGTAGCTTATGTTAATAAATGAAACTTGCCAGAATTGTTGAGTGCTTCGGATAGGAGTGGTTGCTACTAAGCCCTTTTGTTCCTTCAGAACTCTGCTCGAAGCCCAAAGTTGGGAAGCACTATTAACAAGTATATCTGCACAAATAAGTCCAATTGCAAAAAACGAAATGAATCAAGTTTCAGAAGGGAAATGCAAGATAACTTTGGGTCTATTCAGAAAGTTAACCTAACTTTTACATCTAACTTCCACCTTTTCCACCAATCCATCTTTCATCACACAAAGTTAGTTTTTTTAAACCATGGGACTCAAAATCTTCCTTGATGTTTAAAATACCTCAGGTGTCCTTTGTTTGAACATTAGATGATGTTCGAAAGTCTTGGTCTGATGTTTAAGCCTATTCTTTCCTGGCCTCAAGTTACATTTCCAGTCTCATCTACCCCTTCCCCGAGGTACCCTGTGCTCAGTCATTCTGGGCGACTCCTCATTCCTGAACATGCCAACAGCATCCTCCCTTCGCATACCTCATCCTCCAAGGCCCAGGTGAAGGGTTTCCTGCCCTGGGAAGATATCTCCTAACCTTTATATCATCAAGTCCTCGCTTTTTTCTTTGGCTATGGCACTGCATTCATATGGATACAGGGAGAAGACAGTGCATTTTAAGAATCTGTATAATGGTGTGTTGCCTAACAGTTTATCTCCCCAACTGGATAGTGAACCCTCATTCTGGGTGCCAGAAAGTCTCCTGGTTATAAGAAGATGGAGTCTTGAAAAGAAGAACATAAAGTCTTCCAAAAAAGTTAAGATTTTGACAGATGAAAATATTTTATGATGGAGGGTGTGTCTGCATTAGGGTTGTTCTCCCCATTTGTTCCTGCTCAAAGGATTAATTAGTAGAGTTGTAGGACCATGTCTTCACTCACACACTCAGTATAGACACCTTGCTTGCCTAAATATTCCACACCCCAAACAATTGGTTTTACAGTGAATATTTTCATTTTAAAGAGAAAACTCCCTTCATTCTTCAAAATATTTCAAGTAGCAGCATCACTTTAGGAGAAAAAGTTACAACTGAAAGTTCAACATTATATGGCTTTGGGCAGACACCTGAAAGATGCATGTATGAATTGTCAGTAAGTCAAAATCATTCCAAACAATGAGCATTTGTAAATTTACAGTAAGTGCCAGAGAACTTCAACTGGGAACATGTGAGCCATTCCCAGTGGAAGCAGCAGATGCAGACAGGCTCATGGACTATTTACACAATGGCAGGTAGTTAATGTTGATGTATAGAGAAGACCAGCCAGGGGGACTATGGAGATAAGGCTCCAAACATTGTTTGGAGCAAGGTCTTGTGGAATTCCAAATGTCATGGTGAACAGCCTGTAATGCCCTTGATGCAAGGCAGGGAGGTGTTGAGCAAGTACAAGTAGGGGAGAAAATGGACAGTTATGCTACACAGGGTGGGTCAGAATTTGGAATAACTCATTTAGATCCTAATCCGATGGGTAAGAGGTAGTAAAGCGTGCATGCTATGGACACAAAGGACAGGGCAAAGAAGAAAGACACTAGAGGGCAGGACTGAGTGGTACAGCTGACACGCCAGGAGTGGGGAAACTGGGGTGTCCAACTATTCCCAGACTTTATGCCTAGCTTAGGGGCAAGAGATATAGGCCACCCACAGAGGAGTTTTAAGAGCTGGATAAACTTGATCATCTTTCCCCCAGGACGTGGTAGGAGAATGGAGGAGAGGCAAAAGACTGATGAAGGAAGAAGTAGATAAATTGAGGGCCAATGCCAAGTATCCTATTGAAGGCTCTCCCCACCCATTTAAATATCTTAAAATGAAAAATTAAGATGCAGTTCAGAGGTGGAAGAAGTCCTATCAAGAGATCATCTGGTTGAGTCCAAGAGCTTAAGGAAATCACATTGTTTCTCTTATTTCTACCCTGAAGAGCAGCTGAGGAAGGTTAGCTTATTGGCCCAAGGTCAAAAAGTAAGAAAAGTCTAAGTCCTAGCATTCCTAGATGAGATTATACAAAATTCTGCCTCCTAGTCACCAAATATAAAACTCTCAAGTAGAGTCAGAATTAACACCTGATAATTCTACGCCCCCAAATACGCAAGCATCAGTTTTTGAGGGTGCTTACCATCAAACTGAGTAGCCATTATATGAGCTCACTTAGTTAACTGATGATTATAACAGACAAAAAGGCAGTCATTGATTAAAATATTTCGGGAGTTACTAAGGATCAGCAAACTCCTTCTGTCTTCTACTTTCAAGACACACGCTGTCTCCCTTGCTCCACTGCTCCCACACATTATGCACACAAGTCTACACCATTCTCCAGCATGCCTCAAAGCCCTGATACAGTAATTCCCAGTAATCCCCGCTTTTGTTCCCATCTGTATAGGGCTCATTATACCAACACTCCTGCA